TCTCTCCAAACTGCTTTCTGCTTTTTGTTAGTGAAGATTCTCAAATTTCAGACAGTTTATTGGAGCTTATAGTTCTACACAGCCCATCTTGGTTGAGAAACCTGGAAAAAAGTTGCAGGTATGACTACAGGAACAGAAAGTTAAGAGTTGGCAAATTCTACATAAGAAGGAGGTAGAGAAAGGGAACCAGAAGTATGACAAGACCATATAAGATCCAAGCTTACCCCAAGCCAGGTGAGTGACAAACTTTCTGAAGCAAGGCTGTACCTCTTAAGCCTCACAAATAGGACCCCCAACTGGGAACCAAGAACCCACAGGGATGACCCCAGCTAAGACCCTACGCAATAGTGGAGAAGTTGTCTGAACTTACCTTACCCTGTAGTCAGACTGATGATTATCTTAAATATCACTATAGAACCTTCGTCCAAAAACAGATGGGAACAGAGGCAAGGACCCACATCAGAGCATTGGATTGAGCTCCCAAGATCCAGTTGAAGAGTGGAAGGAGGGAGAGTATGAACAAGGAATTCAAGACCATGAGGAGGTCATCCACTGAGACAGTTTGCTTGAGTTAATGAGAGCTCAACAACTCCAACTGGACTGGGAGTGAATGAGCATGGAAACAACCAAGCCCCTCTGAAGGGGGTTAACAGCTAGGGCAGACTGAGGGGCCACAGATAATGACACTGGGATGTGTCTCTACTGCATATACCAACTTCATGGGATCCTATTCTTTTTGGATGTAAACCTTGCTCAACCTAGATGTAGTAGGGAGGGCCTTGGACTTTCCACAGGGCAGGGTTCATGGCACTCCCTTAGGGTTGGAGGGGTGGGGGAAGGGTTTGTGGAGGGAGAGGGAGGGGACTGGGAGGAAGAGAGGGAGTGGGAATTTCTTTCTTTCTTTTTCTTTTTCTTTAGAAGAAAGGGGGAGGTAATAAGGGATTCCCCTCTGTATAGTGTGAATATGTTTTATTATCATTGGTTAATAAAGAAGCTGCTTTGGGCTTATGGCAGCCTAGAATAGAGCAAGGTGGGAATTCCAAGCAGAGATAGAGGAGAAAAGAAGGCAGAGTCAGAGAGACACCATGTAGACACTGAAGGAGAAAGTTTCCCACCCACCAGAACCTTGCCAGTAAACCACGAGCCTTGTGGTAAAATAGCAAATAACATAAATGGATCAGTTTAAGATGTAAGAGCTAGTTAATAAAAAGCCTGAGCTAATAGGGCAAGTAGTGTTTTAATTAATATAATTTCTGTGTGATTATTTGGGGTCTGGGGGCCTGGAAAAGAAAAAAATAGTCTCCACCCATATCCTCCTCCACCTCTGGTTCTTAACATTCTATGTCTCTTCTTACACAGTGTACCCTCAGTTATGAGGGAAGGAATTTTATGGAGATGACATATTTGGGCATAAGTGCTCCCAGATAACTCACAGTCTACATAATGTCTTACTGAGGGTCTCTATATTTGTTCTCATATGCTACAAGAGGAAATGCAAGGCACTGATGTATAAATATAGTAGAATAGCATTTTGAGTCAATTATTTTATCATTGCTCTTCTTTTTTAAACCAGTACTATTTGGGTTGACACTAAATCCTTGGACTATCTAGTACCATGTTTTCAGTCACCCAAATAATGCTGGGTATGGATTCCATTTGATTGAATAGACTATAAGTCAAATCAGTTACTGGATGGTTATTCTCACAAGTTTTGTGCCACCATTGTCCTAACATATTTTTGTTCCAGAAAAATCATGCTTCTTTTGAGGATGAGTGTAATCTTGTATCAGCACTAGAATAATATTTGGAAGCATTTTCAAACAAAAATATTGGAGAAGTTCAAAAGAGAAAAAACCCTCTAATTCTTTGAGGACATAGAAATTCATAAACAAGTGAGAAAATAACAGCGCTCAAAATTATGTCTTAGAAGGTCACAATAATGGAAAGTTTCCAAGCCCTGGGATGGGTGGGGCTACAAGTTCTCAAATCACATGGAAAACTCCTTAAATTCTGCTTGCAAGTAAAGAAAAAAATTCAGTTTCTTTTGTTTCTCCTTGATAACCTGTTGCAGAGAGAATGTGAGGGGCAGTGGTTTGCAGAAGATGCCCCTGTACTTTGTCCAAGATGGGAAAAAAGATTAGAAATAGGTTTAGAGTTTGACCAGATACTGAGTAAACCTACTCCATATAAAAGAGGACAGTGACATCACAATCCATCTGTTAATGGATTGATTAACATGAGTGAGATTTATAATAATTTTATTATCAGAGGAGATTAATAATTAGGCTCTAGTGTGTAAACTGTGTTTTCTATGATCAATGATGAGAGAAGCAGGTAAAACAAAATATATAAAACCTGTAGGACAGGACTTGATGTATAATAATTATCCAATAAATACTGAAGCTTTTAAAAACTAATAAGAATCTTGAAGTAGTAGGCAAGCAGCCATTCTTATAGGTTTAATGAAATTAATATTATATTGAGATTTTATTTGTGAATTAAATACAACTCAGAAATGCAACAAGCATATAATTTAATTTTTACTGAAATGGAATTATTTTCTAACACATTTTCGTCCTCTAACACTTCCTCATTTTTAAGATTAAACAGTGAATTTTCCTAGAATGTATCCAGAATCCTGATGCAGAACCATGGAATGCTGTCCTCTTTCTACTTAGTAATATACAGCACAGAATTTACCATGTCCACAATAACACACAGAACAACTTCTTAGGAAGAGACATTAAGGTAAGAAAACTGTTACAAGCCATATAGTGGGGTATTCTGAGTTAAATGTGTTCACTTGATGTTTTTAAATAATGCTAGGCTCCCGCCTTAGAATGTTCAGGAAAATTGAGCATCTGAAACCCTGCACTAAATTGGTACTGGCCATGGCTTAGTGGTCCTAGCTTTAAATCAGATGAATTAGGAAGAAACAAGGAGAGGCTTCACATACCCTCTGGAATGAACACCAGTGGAAATACAGGAATGGTGTCAGAGTCCTTCTCATTCAAGAATTATCAATATTATGACAATTGAAGCATTTGAGGCAATCACGAGAGTATCAGGAAAAGCTGAGAGAAGGTACTGAAATCTGAAGGGGTCAGGGGTCAGAGTTCCCAGATTGTCATGTGAAAGAACATTCTTACTTAGGTGGATGAGGAATAAATGTTTGATTCGTATAAATGCCTTTTATGCTTATTTTACTAATATATGTAATGAACCATCTTGGATGATATTGTTTCCCTGTTCATTTCACCTTTATAGTAAGTTTATAAAGCTGAGATATTTAATATAAAGTTTCCAAACATCTTTACACTTTTAGAATTATTATGCATATTCTTTATAAAATGATTTAATTAATAGATGACTTTTGTTGCAATTTGAATTATAATTGAAGATTGCATAATTTTTAAAGGGCAGGTTCTCTTTTATGCTAATGAAATTTTTATTTTTTATGTAGATGTTGGTTAAAATAATGCTGATATCAATATTGTCTATCATCATTGATACATGTTTTGTAAAATGTGATTAAGTAACTGTCTGGAGGACTTTTACAAGTCTCTGAGCTTGATCTGTGATCCTGTCTCTCTATATTATGTCAGAAGATACAGACGTAGCTTAGTTTGTTTAGTAACAACGGTTGCTACATGAACAAGCTATCATTATTAGGTATTTGATATTAACAACTAAACATTTTTAATGCTAACTTTTATTTTGCATAATCTTAATTCAGTAAACTTACTAATAAATTAGGTGATAAGAATAATTCAATTAATACAAGTTCTGTCTTTTTTTCACTGTCCCAGTCAATTTGATTTTCTTGATACAATGAAGCTATCTGGGGCAGGAGTTCTGAGGGCAGTGTTGTACATTTATCTGTGGTTGAAGGAGAGATGTTTAATGTTTGTGATTTGCTGAGACAGGTCAAAATAATTTTAAAATGTAGATCTATGCGAACATTAGTAAAATGTCCATCACTAGTGGTGATAGTACAGCTAGGACTAGGAGTAGAATACCATTCTTCTGACTGTGTGGCATGCCCTTACCACTCAACACCCTGATATTCTGACAGCATTCATATCATGATTTCCTGCTTTCTTAAAAATGAATTGAGAGATATTCTTATCAAGTTCAAACAGAGAAATGTCACTCCAAGTTTTGAGAATTTTTAGAACCTTAAGAAATCTGCTCCAAGCCAGAAAACAAATAGCAAAATCTGTATTGGGTAGGCTTGCAAAAGTCAGTAGCTGGTGTTCTAACTCATTTTCCCCATTTGCTTTCTGTTTTATACCTAAGCTGGAAAAGCCAGACCCTGATTCACGTACTGGCATACTTTCCTTGAGGATACAAAGGTATTGACTGATGTCATGATCATTTGAAGTTTGTTTTATCCTACTGTTACTTGGTGATAGTTTGTAAATAGTTTTAGAATTCATAGTAGAGATACCCAAGAGAAATTAATCAGAGAACTGAAAACAGAAACTATTGTACATTTTGCATGTTTGTTAGTTTTATCCATAGTTGAAATGATTTCTAGTAACTGAAAATATAATTTATAAACATAGATTATTTTTAATTTCTACAGTAAACAATATTATTTTTGTTTACACTTTAACAAAAGTTATAAAAATGTCTATATTGTCATTGTTTCTTTCTTATTGATACATGTGATTAAAGAGTGCAAGGGCACAATCATTTTCATTCATGTGGACAAGTGGAAATGAATGGAAAATCTTATACACAAGTATCTGTTTAAATTTCCATGTGTGCAGACCACTAGATTTTAAGTATTCTATGATGTATTTTTACCTCAATCTGTTTGATATTCAACTATTGCTGTGTAAAATTTTCTTTTTATATTTTTTGATTTTCTATGAAATCAAGCACTCAATGTAATTTTGTATTTAGCTGTACTAAGTCTTTGTTGATCTCAAAATCATAAATCAGATTGAAGCAAATATTTATCATTACCAAAATACATGCTCTCAATTGGACATTCATCTTCTCCTTGGACAATGAAAAACCAGAGTTTTGTAACTGAATTTGTCTTCCTGGGACTATCACAGAACCCAAATGTTCAAAAATTGATATTAATTGTAAGTTTATTTGTCTACATTGCAACTATCAGTGGCAACATGACGATTGTGGTGACCATTGTTTGCAGCCCTATACTGCTGGGCTCCCCCATGTATTTCTTTCTGGCTTTCCTGTCCTTACTGGATGCAAGCTTCTCCTCTGCCATGACACCCAAGATGATTGTGGATTGTATCTATGAGAGAAAAACAATCTCCTTTGAAGGATGCATGATACAACTTTTTTTTGAACACTTCTTTGGTGGGGCTGAGGTGATTGTTCTGACAGCCATGGCCTATGACCGCTATGTGGCCATTTGTAAGCCCTTACACTACTCTTCCATTATGACTCGGAGGCTCTGTGGCATTCTGGTGGCAGTGGCCTGGGCAGGAGGCTTCTTACATTCCATTATACAAATCATCTTCACTTTGCAACTGCCCTTCTGTGGACCCAATGTCATTGATCATTTCATATGTGATTTATACCCATTGCTGGAGCTTGCCTGCATTGACACCCACATTTTTGGCCTTTTGGTGGCTGCCAACAGTGGGTTTATCTGCATCATAATCTTTTCCTTGTTGCTTTTTTCCTATGGCTTTATCTTGCTTTCACTAAAATCCCACAGTTCTGAAAGCCGATGGAAAGCTCTGTCTACTTGTGGGTCCCACATTGCTGTAGTGGTCTTGTTCTTTGTCCCATGCATATTTACATATGCAAGGCCTCCTACTGCTTTCTCCTTTGACAAAGTGGTAGCAATATTTTATACCATGCTATCCCCATTGCTTAATCCAATGATTTATACTTTTAGAAATAAAGACATGAAGAATGCCATAAGGAAAGTGTGGAAAAAATTGATAGTGCATTCAGATGAAAAATAAAATGTTTCATTTTAACAAAATTAGTATTAATAATAAAGAAGTCAAAATTATTGCACACAAACCACAGTATGTTTATTACTTATAGAGAGTTAATGTAATTCTCCTGAACTGCCATTATTTGGGTGTTAGAGAATGCTGTTTTCCCTTGCATGCCCACTGAGTTGGAAACTCAATATTCATGTGTATAAATTAAAGAGAATTGAATTTTATATTTAGAATCTACTAATATATGAAAACAATCAAATCACCAGCTACAATAGTGGCTATTAACTCCATGCTTCTTAAAAAAAAGTCTGCAGGAAATTCAAAATGTTATATACATTCTAATGAAATCTTATTAAACCTATTTTCAGTACAAAGAAATTTCAATTTATGATAGTGATCTCAATAAAAGCTATAATTTGGATGGGATAGAAAGAAAATCTTCACAGAAGTTCTATAGGTCCCCTCTTTCTCATGACTTCAATATTTAATGGGAGTCTCTTTCCATTTGTTAAAGAATTTGAATCATGCTTTGATATCTTGAGAGATAATCCTTGGTTGATTCATTTCTACCAGGACATGTTTTCTTCTTGGGTTGAGAGATGTCTTATGCCAATCAGCCCTGGGAAAGGAAATGGGAAGACACCAGAATTATATATAATCATCTCTTAGAAAAATAACCCAAAAGGATTCTAAAAAGAATTCTAGAGATTCCACAGAACTAAAACAGCTAAGATCAACAGATCAGCAGATGTAGTAAGTTGACTCTTCTGACCCCTACGATACCATCAAACATTAGGACACCATAGAGTAAAATAGTTCTCAAAAGAGGATTGCATTTCAATTAATACACTGACTTTAATCTTCTTGACTTTTATACATAAGCTGAAAACAATTTTATTTGAAGTTATCAATAAAGAAACCATTCTAGTTTCCACATATCTGCTTATTGTAATCTCAGAACTTGGAAGGTAGAGACAGGAGATTCCCTATGAGTTTGTAGCCAATCTGATCAACATAAAGACTTCTAGGTCAGCCTCTGGAACAGAAACAGTCAGTCTTAAGAAAAATATGAAAAAAAAGATAAATTGTGCCTACAATTCCTTAAATTAATTCATCCCAGTTTGCAAAGTAGTTACAGTTCAAACTCTCCTACCATACCAATAATACTAAAACCATGCATTAATTAAGTATTCCAAGAGGTACTAAATTATTTTGCTTTTTCCTTAGTAGTTTTTGTTTTCACAGCCATGGCCTATGGCCAGCATGTGGCTATTTTCAAGCCCTTGAATTCCTCCTCCATCATGAACAGGGGACTCTGTTATGGGTAACCAGATCTGGGGAATTTTTAAATTCTATCATATGCATTGTTATCACATTGTAGTTGCTCTTCTGTGGGCACAATGTTATCATTTTTAGTTTGATTTGTACCCAATTACTGCACAACATTTCTAAGAATATGTAAAGTAAAAGGCAGAAATTATTGCATTTATTGTTGCCTTATGAAGTTCACAAGAATTAAGTTTTAAGCCATTATAAAGCATTTAAACCATTATAAACCAAAATAAAGCATATACATTTCAACAGACTTAGAAGTGTATAATAAGCCATGATACCCTGGTGTACCTTTCCTTCACTTTTGCAGGGTTTCCTAACAGTATAATATAAAAGGTCATAGTATAGTATTTCAATGCACACATGTAATGTGTTTGATCACATTTCTCTCCCTAATTGTTCTAAATTTCACCTCATACTATTCTTCACAGCTATTAGTTTACCTTTTATTGTCTTATCCTTTTTATATCCCCTCTATCTACATATGAGATAAAAATCCGGGAGGTTTTTGAGCTGTGAAGTGACTTATCTTACTTCACTCATTCGTCTCTTGCTACAATCATTTTCTTACAAATACCATTTTATTTTATTTTATGATTACATAAAATTATGTTTTGTCTGTATTCATCACATTTTTAACTAGTTGAACTGTTGGTACCCACCTGGATTGAGTCTCTAGTTTACCTATAGTGGATGTGTGGTAAGCTTGGGTATAAATTCACCTCCATTGTAAATTTACTTTTGTTTACTGGATAGTCATTTAGTCATATTGTGGTTAGATGTTCTATGTTCTTAAATGTTTTAGGAACTGTCATACTGATTTTAATAATATCTAAACATGTTCTCACCACCATAGAATAAGTCATTCTTCTGTCTGTCAGAAATAAGTTTGTGGTCATTCAAAAATGGTATATAGAAAATGAAGGAGGAAGGATAAAGCAGTTCCTTCAGGTCATCGAATTCCTAGAACAGAGCCATGGCCTTTTGTATAAACAACGGGTTTACTCAATGTGAGTAACATTTATATAAAAGTCTTACAAGGTGAAGGAGATAAAACAACTTTGATGGTTTTTCCTAAACACAAATTTTATAGTATTTCATAGAAAAGACCAATATTTGATATTGCTTCTACCTCTCATCCTCTATTTACTTGACAGTGCTTTGTGTTGTGTGCCTTTTTGTTGATGGCCATTACTAGAGTGGTGAGATGGATGTCAGTACAGTTTGTATTAGAATTTCCTTACTGACTAAACCAATTTTTCTTTATTAAAATTTTAATTCAATGTTTTACATTATTTTATGTTCCTCATTGAAGAGCCTACCCTATCTGATTGTTGCAGTATATAGAAGACTGGGATGCTGACTATTTCAAAGAATTTTATAATTCAGGCATGAAATGAGTTATGGCCTAAGGAGAAAGGGAAGGCACTATCAGAAAATATGTTGGTCTTTACCTTTTCTATAAACACTCAGCACCTCCTCCTTTTTTCAAAATAAGAACATTCCAAACCCAATGCAAAACTATATAAGGACATATACCAAGTATAAAAATTAGAATTACCACCATCATAAACAGTATTAAGCAAGAAACATCTGCTAAATGCTTCAATAATTATTCTATCCTAAGGAGTCTAAGTCTTGTATTATAAATGGCTTGGCTAAGTTATGAGAAGAAAGTAACTATGATGATCTACTCTTCAATCCCATAGAAGACCCAAAAAAGGAGATAATATTACTTGAGTAGGCAAGAAGTGCAATCAAGCAGCTTCCAAAATGTTCAATAAATGATCGAGACAACTGGCTTCCTAGGCAATTACCCAAAGTCTCATTTGCAGTGTTGGAGCAACCAACTTTGGCTATGGTCTAGAGCAAATGATAGACCATTGTCAGAGGCAGAAAAATTTTCAAAACCATCTTACCCTGTCTTGGCAAGTTGGCAAGTTTTGGCAGTCTTTTTTCTTGTATCTTGTTTATTTGTCCAGTCTGGACACTATCCTTTCTTTCTGAAACTAATGGTATATGTATAATTATTATCAAATAAATAAGACCTTCTTAAATTGAAAAGAGAACAACTAAATTTTGGATGAACATCCAAATGTTATCAATTTTGAACAAGTAAGAAAATTCCACAAAATTGTTAAATTATTTCTTAGCATCTCATGGGGTCAGAAAATTTTCAATTCCTGGGAGAACCAAGAATTTGTCTCACAGCGAAACCTCTTTAAATTCCAGATGAAATGAGGTAGGGGAAATTTTGGATCTTTCATTATGTTTTGCTCAGTAACAACGATGAGCACAGTATCTGGGAAGCAGATGTAACATTCTCCATCTTCACTGTCAGAGTTTTTTTTTCCTGCTTAGATGTGGAAGGAACAACTGGAAACAAGCAGAGAGACTTTGGAAAGACTGAATGAAAGGGAGGCTATCTTCAGAATTTTTTAAGAAGCCATACTTGGTGAGGAAAAGTAAGCATACCATGTGCCTTTATGAAAGATTATTAATCTGTGATGCAGTGATTTAGTATTTGGGTATTGTAGGCAGTCTACTGTGTTTAGAAAGTCATGTCCCCCTCACCTGTCAAGTATTTGTCCTTGCAAGATTTTTGTAGATCCTGGTACTCAGGTTACTACTTATCATTGTAGAAATATTATAACAAAAATTGGTGTCTTATTAATTTAATAAAATATAATGTGGGGAGCCAGAGAATATAATTTTATAAAAAAAAGTTTTTCATTTATTTATTTATAAAAATTTCCACTTCCTCCCCTCCTCCCAACACCCTCCCGTTCGCAGCACTCCCTCTCCTCCTCCCTTTCCAGTCCTAAGAGCAGTCAGGGTTTCCTGCCCTGTGGGAAGTCCAAGTTCCTCCCCCCTCCCTCTAGGTCTAGGAAGGTGAGCATTCAAACAGACTAGGATCCCAAACAGCCAGTACATGCAGAGGAAACAAGTCCCAGTGCTATTATCAATGGCTTCTCAGTCAGCCCCCATGTCAGCCACATTCAGAGAGTCCGGTTTGATCACATGCTCGTTCAGTCCCAGTCTAGCTGTCCTTGGTGAGCTCTCATTCGATCAGTCCCCTTGTATCAGTGGGTAAACGCACCACTCGCAGTCCTGACTTCCTTGTTCATGTTCTACCTCCTTCTGCTCCTCATTTGGACCTTGGGGGCTCAGTCCAGTGCTCCAGTGTGGGTCTCTGTCTCTATCTCCATCCATCATCAGATGAAGGTTCCCTCTGATCCTGCCTTCCTTGCTCACATTCTCCCTCCTTCTGCTTCTCATCTGGAACTAGGGAGTTAAGTCTAGTGTTCCAATGTGAGTCTCTGTCTCTATCTCCATCCATGGCCAGATGTAGGTTCTATGGTGATATGCAAAATATTCATCAGTATGGTTATGGGACAAGGCCAGTTCAGACACCCTCTCCTCTGCTGCCCAGGGAACAATCTGGGGACCTCTCCTTGGACCTGGGAACCGCTCTAGAATCAAGTCTCTTGCAAACCCTAAAATGGCTCCCTTAGTTGAGATATATACTTCCCTGCTCCCATATCCATCCTTCCTCCCTTCCCCCATCACATTCGCCCAAGTTATCCCCCATTCTCCCCTTCTCCCTTCTCTCCAACCATCTCCCCTTACATCCATCTCCCCCACCACGTACACCCAAGTTTTCCTGGCAATCTTGTCTACTTCCAATATACAGGAGGATAACTACATGATTTTCTTCAGGTTCACCTTCTT